TTAAGCACGTACGTGAGATAGAAACTATTTGGTTTTCAAATCAGGAAATATGAGAGGCAATAATATCCTTGCCAAGATTCGTACTACTTTCGATTGCTTTCTGGACGTAATAACCACTTAAGGCCGCATTAAGCACGTACGTGAGATAGAAACTATTTGGTTTTCAAATCAGGAAATATGAGAGGCAATAATATCCTTGCCAAGATTCGTACTACTTTCGAATTGCTTTCTGGACGTAATAACACTTAAGGCCGCATTAAGCCACGTCGAGTGAAACTATTGGATTTCAAACGGAAATATGAAGGCAATAAACCCTTGCCAAGATTCGTACTACTTTCGATTGCTTTCTGGACGTAATAACCACTTAAGGCCGCATTAAGCACGCACTTGGGATAGAAACTATTTGGTTTTCAAATCAGGAAATATGAGAGGCAATAATATCCTTGCCAAGATTCGTACTATTTTCGATTGCTTTATGGACGTAATAACCACTTAAGGCCACATTAAGCACGTACGTAGGATAGAAACTATTTGGATTTGGATTTGGACTATTTGGATTTCATATTGGAGGAAATATGAAAGGCAATAGTATCTTTGCCAAGATTCGTACTACTTTCGATTGCTTTCTGGACGTAATAACCACTTAAGGCCACATTAAGCACGTACGTGGGATAGAAACTATTTGGTTTCCAAATCAGGAAATATGAGAGGCAATAATATCCTTGCCAAGGTTCGTACTACTTTCGATTGCTTGCTGGACGTAATAACCACTTAAGACCACATTAAGCACATACTTGGGACTATGCTAGTTCTTTAAATTCTCCCTTACTTGAAGGACGCCTGACAGGGGATCCAGTCTACCGAACCACCCGAGTGATGAGCAATTGTTATGGACTTTATTTTTAGATAAAGGGCCAGTTTAGAAAACACTAACGTGCAACATCATTTGTACCCTCGCAGGCATTCGAACCACGAATTTTCCAGATGTCAAAAAGACATGCTAACATTTACAACCGAAACAGTATGAACGAAACAGTATTAACAGTATGAACGGGAGAAGGAGGCAATTCTTTATAATTACAGTATTTTAATTAATAGGAATTAGAATTATCTCATTAAATATATTTAATAGGTAACAAAGTTTAAATTCACCAACCATTCAAAAACATCTTATCAAAATCTCGGCTAATTAATAACATTATTTTCCTATCAAGCAGCTTGTGAAAACTAGCCGTCGGATATCAAATAAAATGCCAAGCTTTGCAAATAGTTTTTGTATTTCTACATCTCAAAGACCTTTTTCCTTCTTTTTTTAAATATGCTTCAGCCTCGCATACTTTTGAAAAAATCTCACAGTTGCGAAAATGATAAACAATTTCTCGGTTAATCTTCAACTGGAAATATAAATCTGGCTTTGGCAATTATTGGTGATATTTTTACATTATTAGAGTAAACTTTATCATTTAATATTAAAACAAGATACCATATTTTATTGATTATCTCCATGACAAATGTTGCCAATGAATATTTCTCCAAAATTTGGCAGCCTGTTAACCTAACTTGACTATTGATCAGTTTCTATTCTTTAATAAAAAAACATATTTAGCTTTTCATACTCGCGAAATTATGCAAACTTTTGACATTTTATACTATACTTTTATTTACAATGTATATTTACGTACACTTTATTTACATCAGTTATGAGCGCAGAAAAATATCGGATAATCGATTCTCATATTGATAATAAGAATTCGTCATCTAAGTAACGAACATTGTACTATACTATATTAAGAGATTACAGAAAAACGCCAAAGTAAAAACATAAAATTAGGCAAAGCAATTTGGCGTATAGTTTAACCTAAATTCCATAGATTTCGAGGGCTACAGATGCGGATCCCTCATCATCAGAAGAAAAGAAATTCTGAAGAGAAGAAGCTGTATTTATGCCAATAGCTAAAGAGTAAAAAAACAATAAAAAATTAAGCGAATAGCACTTTAAAAGCGTTAGGAAGAGCTGGATTGGAGTTAAAGTCATTACCTAAACAAGATCAAACTTTTTATATGTGAAATGCTTCGAGGAAATCGATTTCACCGACCGAATAAGCTTTTGGGATAATTGTTGCAGACCCAGAATCAAAACTGTGATTAGATTTCCACTAACGATTAGCTATCAAAAATGTCTTTATTTCTTCTTTTCGGATATAAGCTACGTGTTCCTTAATGCAAAGTGTTAACGCTCTTTTACTTTGTCCAATGTATCCTACACCCCATTTGCAAGATATTTTATAATTTCCCAAGAATTTAAGTCAGAAATGGAATCTTTAAGAATGGAACAAGTGATATTACAGGTAGGTGAGGAAATTATATGGAAATTGACCTTCTGGAAATTCCGTGCAGTTTTGTAATTACAGAGGCTGTTCACACATTTTTTAGACGCTATATATTGTATTCACAAAACTATATTAGATAAAATTCTTGTGTTTTAAATCAACGTTTATCATTTTGTTTACAGTGAACACCGAGAATTTTAATGATTTTGCAACTGTCTTTTGACTAGGGGGATTTTCTTTTAACATTAAACAACATACCTTTGCAATAGTCAAAGATGTCCGTTTTTTCCTTGGGTACTTGTTTGGAATTTTTGTCTCACTCGAGGCTCCAATTTGACGTTTTTTTCCTCTCTTGTTGATGATATTACCTATCGACGCTTTAGATATCACAAAACCATGACTCTCACATCGTTTTTGGATAACGGAGTATGCATATTTCTCTTCGGAAAGAGCATAAATGTAGCCTTCGAACCACTGCTTTGTTAAATTCGCCATTTTGAAAAAAACAAAACTTTCAAGCCACAGACGATAATTTTGACGTTTAAAAACATAGTACAATTGCAATTACTTCTTTTGCAGCAAACGATGTTTTATTACCGCTTATCGAAATCGTCTAAAAAATGTGCGAACAGCCTTCTGTAGTAAAAGGATGAAATTAAATAACAATATGGTTATTAAGGCTATTTCTAACAGTGGAATGTCTTCTTTGGTTGCAAGCTGAAAATGCTTTAAAGGATTTATCAATATCCATAAGGAAAATGCTCTGCCAATGGCAATTAAGATCCCGAGATATCATCTTTTACTTAGCCGGGGGCATGATTTAGCTTGGAGCAACCAAACAGAAAAGGGTTTACGGTACATGGTAGTGCTAAAATCATATTTAAGAATACATTAACAAACAACAGGCAGTAGACATTAAGAAAACATTCCAAAAGATTTAGAAAAGATCAGTTTAGGAATAGTGTTTAAAAGAAGTAATTGAAAATTCAGTAAGTAAATTCCGATCACTGTTTCTGTGTCTAATGTCTGACTTTCTCGCAGAATTGGGACCAAAATCCATCCAAATCGTATAATCAATTGTTTGAAGATTTTGATGTTCATGTAATTGATAAAATATTCTAATGCTAAAGCATTAGAATGTTTAAAATTACGACTATGGTAAAGCAGTTCTCGTAAAGCAGAACTGATAGTTGTAATTTTAAGCCATGACGTATAATGACATGTTCACTATTTTTGTAATGTAATACGGTATATGATGAAATATGAACACAGAAACACAGTAAGCGTGTCTAGCTTTGACTGCCAAAGTTTGCTTGCTTTCTTGCGCTGCGTGACTTTTGTCTCTACTCGCTTTCCATTAGATATGCAAATATGCAGTAAAGGAAACAATGGTTTTCGCAATTTTACTTTACTTTCGTTCCTGCAGGTTCAGCTGCTAGCTCTTCAAACTCATGTGTTCTCAGTGGCTTAATTTTCTTATCTAGCTTCTTAAGGCCACTTATGGGGCCACATAAACAACTTCATAATCAGTATCAGCATCTGCGAAAAACATGGAGAACGAAGTCGTTTTAATCAGAAATAGTATTTTATATTTATAATAATTTTTCAAATGCAAACATTCCAACATATACATCGCAACGACGGCGAAATGACTGGTACACACTTTAATAGACATCACCTGCTTTACAGCAGCGACGCAAATTCTAACAGCAAAGTTTTCAGGACATTCAATTTACTTCTCAACCAAGATCCATAGGCGTTGTGAAACATGTGTTGCAGTTGCTTGTCGTTCATTTGAATAATTCTTGTAAATACCAAACACTATTTCTTGTAAATAACAGAGATTAAACTAACTTTTCTTTCGTCGCGTTCTTCGTACGTGACAACTTGTCACACGCACACACACACCTTGCACCCTCACCCTCAATGCTATCTTCTGGACCCACAGTCACGCATGTCTTTACTACAAGCCCCAATCTAGACCCCAAACTCATGACAGACTCGTTGTGTAAAAGTGCATAGTAATTGCGGTTTAAAGCGAAGCTTGGAACATGTTCTTCGTATTTAGTGCATTTCTGCGTTCGTACATCCATTGCAGAAAGTAGTCTTTTATGCTTGGTTACGTCCGTATGCACAAATGTCATGCAAAAAAAATCTACTAAATGTATTCAAAAGCGATCAAAATGGATACTTCCGTTGGAATATGATACAGGAAAGTTTTCGTGATTACAATACTTCCTTTAATTTGTACAAGGAAGTGAAAAACTGGTTAAGCGTTTTCAATAATTATACAAATTATTTCTTTATCATACTATCTATACAAAATATTTCATTACTATTGCCTCTGAAATTTAATTTAATATTTGAAAAATTGTAATGATTATTTAAAAAATACAGTAGACCTGAACTTGATGCCAAAAATAAGAATAAAATGTTGAACTTCAAATAAAATTCATATTTTCTTTTTAAATTGTATCTCGATAACTCTAATGCAAATGTACAGTTGCAAGTGCTTAAAATCCATACAGTGAGCATGATTTCCTTAAAATAAATCTGTTCCTTATTTGTAATACTGTTGTGCTTTTTAGTCTCTTGCACTAGAAATTTCTCTATCCTGATGTATGAGTGTTTATGTTTTGTTTTTATGTTTTATTGCATGCTTTCTGGCAGAACTTTACGGTAAGTTCCTTAGACTAGAGAAGTGTGCATTTTTGTCTTTTTTTTTTCTATTTCTTAGTTATATATTTCTGTCTTTCGAATATACTTGGATACTTATACACTTTACATGGAATTTTGAATATACTTAATACACTTTACATGGTTTCTGATGATTTTTTAGCAGCATATTTATAAATCAAGTATTATTAGTTGCATTTTATTCATTAAATTTTGCATATATGTATTATGTTCACATGATAAATGTGTTGCTAAATTTAAAAGATGTTTCTCTAAGCATGCTTTTAAAGTTACAGCTTTATGTATTCGAAATAAGAAGTAAAATCATAATTTAATTATGTGCGAAGCAACTACTGATCCGTCACAAAATATAGGTAAAATATGATAGGACGGATAATAAGGAATGTCGAATAAGAGAAGATCGGAAAAGCGAAACTCTTCTCTACCATTAAACAAATCATTCCCAATTCAGAATTCACCCTTTACTACAAATGAAGATGAACTAGATGTCTAGAAAAAGAGCGATTATATTTTCCATTTTAGACCAAATAAACAGGATTTATATGCATTAATATCCTTATAACTGCATGCAAATACTGCAATACATACAGGCATTGTCTTATTAATGTAGTATGTTTGTATATCAATAAGACAATAGTAATCCATATTTAATTTGAACAAAGTTTTGCAATTTGGTATCTGGTATCCACATTGCTTATGCAAATATCTCGAAAATATCGTTTTGATGCGAAGTTGTGATAGTGAATTTACAAGTTTAGTAGAATTCTTTATAAATTGCTTTCAAGTGTTCAACTACAGAAATATCTAGTCCTTTCAGTTATTCTTACGTCGCCAAATAAAATTTATTAATAAATAGATTTCTGATTATCCACTATTTTAAGTTTGAGGACTGGTAAGTTAAGTTTTATTGCTTTTCTGCAATTACAACTTACAAGGTTTTAATATCTTTTTACTACTGTAAAACGTTACTTAACCTTTTTGTAGACTTAAAGCGACTTATTGCTATGTCTTAAATTAAAAGTACAGAAATTTGAGAAGGGTATAAAAGACCCTTTTACTTTAAACTAAAATAGATGAACAGAAGGCAATCCTGGTGCTTACAAAGTCCGCCAGCACTTACGGAAAGAAACTCAGTATCGAAATTCAAATTCTGTAGTAATTTAATCGCGACGTTGGCTCAGAATTCATTGGCGTGAATTTAACTATTGGCAAGCAGCAACGGCGAAGACTGGAACTCTTGTTCTGACTTTTTTCACTTGTCTCACAGTAACATCAGAACAAGGCCGCGAAATTCATCGTGGCAAGCCAACGCCACCTACTTTAGGAGGCGTTGGGCAAGCAAGCCAGGAGAGCAAGATTGCACCAGTCGTTGGCAAGAGCCTTGAGCACGCACAATACAGTTCATAGCACACCTCAATTCCGCTCTCAAGTTTGATGGAGAGTACCCTGGGAGGAAGGGGTCCGGGAGTCTCCCACCCCTCTTCCCCTACTACCAATCTCTCGAGAGGACTTTCGGCTCGCCATATATTTATATTTTAATAATACATAAATCTCAAAGACAGTTTACATTTACAAACATCCATACCTTTTCCGGGATTCAAACCCGGGCCCTTCGGTACACAGGAGACAGAAGACCCTCAACAGAGCCGGCTGCACCATCATTACGAGTTTCAGGTTTTGTGCTCTATTGATGGAAACTATATACCATCCGCTATCAGCGACATTTATTTGAAATAAAATTTTACAAAATTACAGTGGTTGTGCAAATGTACATATGACATACAGAGACAGATCATTCAGGTCCTTTTGTGTTTACGTAGATGGCAATGTTTATAATAAAGCTCATAACATAAATATTTAGAGAATTGTTACTTAAGTTGAAAATTTATGTTTACAGATTTTTATATATCAATTTTGAAGAATAACCAAATTATATAATATAAAATGTCATTATACATTTTAAAGAATTTAGATATATATAATTTAGAAGCCAAATTAAAAAAGAATGAGAAAAACACTAAATAGAGAATAAACATTAAATAAATTTAGAAAAATGTAAAATGTAGACCAGATATAAATATTAAAGATATGCTAATATATGCCCTTCGGTACACAGTAGGCTTCCCTAACCACTGTACAGTCTGGGCGGTCAGGAGCTCTTACCTATGATAGCAAACGTATTAACGTGGCGTTCAAAAGGCAAAACACGCTCTGGTTTAACAATCTCAAACCTTCACTTAAATACACGCGAGATAATTTGCATTCGAGCGGCAAAGTGACAGTAAAGTGACAGTAATATGTGAAGACAGTAAATATAGAAGTGACAGTAAATATTCCAATATAAAATATATGTTATGTAAATTAATTAACCTTCACGAGCTTTCAGTACATGTACTTAATTTTTATTGCATTATCAGATAATTGGCTGCTCTTAATTTTTTTATTAATTACTGTAGTTTTGATTTCAAAATGTTATGATTTTTTTAATATTAACCAATTTACCATTTACGAACACACTACAGACTATACGACATACTTCTGTCGACATCTGTTTGAATGCTTTTAACAACAGACCTCCAGAGTTTCGTGTTTCTTTTTTTCTTTTTTTTTTTTTTTTTTTTTTTTTTTCCTAGTCCAAAGGGATTTGAATCCCGAAGGACTATTAGTTTCGTTTTGGCATTTTGCGTCGGACGGATAAATGTCGGTTCACTTTTCAAACTGTTGCCACTAAATGTTAGAGTCCTGCATTATATTTGAAGAAATTAAATAATGAAAATCTGCGTAAATGTATGTATATTTCTCACATTGTCATAAAATAACGGTACATAGAGTCATCGAATTTTGAATAACGTAATCCTCCAACGAATATGAGCATGTGGAAGACCAAATTTGAAATTTGAAATTTGTTTTATGATCGATTTCCTACTTTTTAAAACTTTGACGAATTTTTGATTAACAAACTCAAGGATTTCAAAGCGAGCAATGGCAACGTTGTGCAGAAAAAACATTTTATAGCCTCGGAGCGAATTATCGCTGCTGCTGAAATTAATGACAAAGAATTCAGAAGGTTACAAAATAACATTTTTATTAAATATGAACTTTAATATAAATACACGACTCGTGCTTGAATACCTCATCCATTGCTTCTGGAAAGGTAAAGTTCAAATTTAAGCTAGTCTAGTAGCCAAAGGCTCCACAGTAGATTTAATTTAGCCACAGGTGGCTCAAATTTTCACCGGCGTAACAATTTAAATATTGGCAACTACAATGCAAGCCAAAGAATACGATCTTATATGAGCTAGTGAAATTCACGTGACATCGAAAGTACAAACACGCTTTGTCTTACAATCCGAAATTTTCGCCTTAAATACTCTCGAACTAATTTGCCTTGTGGTAAAGAAACGGAAGGATATGTGGCAGTAAGCATCTAAATCACAAAATAACTGGCTATTGAAAATACTAATAACCTTACAGTCTTTTCAAAGTGCGAATGCATAACATATATACATATATATTTATACGAAATCAAGCGTATTAGATTAACTTGTCTAAAAACTGTAGCTTTGTGATTAAAAGCGTAAAACTTTCTTACAATATTCAGAAACTTAAGCAACATAAAACTAAGCCTGCTTAAATTGATTAACCAACTAGGCTACACAATGCAAATTAGGTGAAGATTTCAGTTAAAGCAGAATGTAATTACAATTGAAAGACATTCAGCTTGAAACTCAACAGATCTGAGAATTGCTTCAACTCCTGGCTTTGAAAAGGATTTGGAAGTTTACGGAAACTCTCTATTCCAAACTTAAGTTACTTCCTCAACTGAATAATCTATGTGAATATGCATTAAGATTAGAGTTTCCGATTCAGATTAGAGTTTCTAATCTAACTTCACAAGAGATGCAGCGTTATCTGAACTAATCCATGAAACTTCGTTGACATTATTCGATATCGCAATCCTCCGTTTCCGCATTTTAGTTGTGATGTTCCTAAATTTATGCTATCATTTAGATAATCCAAGAATAAAAATAAGAAAGAAGAGAATAAGATCGTAAATTTGATCCTAATAAATCAGATAATTATAAAAAGATTGAATATAGGCAAACGTTGTGGGGTATAACTTGGACTTGTAGAGACAATAACATTTTTTTTAAATATAAAAGATGAAAAATGAGCAAAGCCTTCGTTGGGACTCCAACCACGGGCATCTCGAATTCGCGCCGAGCGTGCTGACCACTACACTACAAAGGGAGGCTAAAAGAAGGTGGGAGAAACACCTTACAGACTTACCGTCTGTAAACGTCTAGCAGTGGCGTTATACCTCTTTAATTTATGATGCACTGAGCAACAAAAGGTTAATTTATTCTATTTATCACAGTATATTGTCGTTTTATCTAAGTTATATAATCAAATATTTTAATAATGAGCATTAATGAATGCATTTTATCAATCAAAAGAATAATAAGATTAAAAAAAGATTAATTTGGGAAATCGACGATTCAGAAAATTTTTAATTCAGTAACATTCCTTGAAGCACATTATTTTTATTAAAACTTATTAAATAAATATATTAAGTATAACTATATTTATTTAATAATTTTTATTTATATTTTGTTAAAATATTTAAAAAGAACATTAATGCGTAACCATATTTATGTCCAAAAATATCATTAATTTACATTATAGTATTTTGCCTGGTTTATACACTAGTTATCATTAATTAAGGAAAAATCACAAAAATGACGATTACTGAAAACATTATATGTAGAATTTAATGAAGCTAAACCTTAATATACAAGACATAGTAAGCTATCAAATTACATGAAAAGAAATTGCTAGACAATTCTGGTATTATAGAAATTAGCATATGTATAAAATGAACAAAAGTGTCAGTTTGGTATAGGAAAATCACCTTCAATATGGGTTCAATCGGAAAATTACCTTTAATATGGAAGCAATTCAGCACACACAGCGAAGTGGGA